TACCTTATATTTTAGTTTTTTTTAAAAATAATTAGTATTATATAAAAGGCACTTATTAAGTATAAAACATGCATATTATATTTTAGTTTAATACACCAGGCTTAATAATCTTAATCTAATTATTAATTACCTAGTTATTTATTATTTAAACCTCCGGGTTAAGCTAGGCCTTGGAAAATACTAGGTAATATTTAAAAATATTTAACGCGTTATTTTAATTAAGGGGTATTAAAAAACACGCTTCCTCCTGCCAAGTATTCTTAAAAATTTTTATAAATATATATTCCCTGGGCCGGCAAAAAAATTAACATGCTATAATATTAAAAAAAAGTAGCTATTAGCCCTAGTAAAACATAATAATATACCTTTTTATATTTTATAATACACTTTTACCACTAAACATAATATTAATTTATTAAAAATAAATACGCGTACCTAATATTAAAAAGTAATTAAAAAAGGTAAAAATAGGTATAAATAAATTTGGGCAAGGTATTAAAAAAGTTTTAAAACTATTTTTTTAATTTTATAACTAGCTAGGACAGGCTGGGACAAGCAGGGATAAATTAAAATAAAAAAAGGTAAAAAAAATAATTTACCTAGGCTAGTAATCTTAATAACCTTTTAATTTTAAAAATTTTTAAAAGGTGGTAAAAAAACGTTTAAGGCAAGTAATCTAAAAAATAAAAATAATTTTTATACTTCTTGCCGGGCTTTTATTAAGGTGGGTTTAGGGTTATATAATAATAAGGGCTTAGCCTTGCTATATATACTACCTATTAACTATAAACTTTTATAATTATTTACCTTAGCTAATTTATACTAACCTTTTTAATTTTATTTACCTAGGCTGGTTATTTCCCGGCCAGTTATCCCTTTCTTAATATAAAATTAATTTAATTATATCTTATTTTTTTTACTTTTATTTTATATAGCGGTAGAATCTTATCCTATTATAATAGCAGGAAAAAGATCTTTAACTATTAAAACTAATTAAAATAGCCGCCTAAAACGTATACAAACGTTAACCTAAGGTGGGGCTAATTTATAGTTAGTAGTAGCTATTATTAAAAAAAAGGTAGATCTTATTACTACTATAGCTACTAAAAAAAAGGTAAATATTACTACTGCTACTACTACTAAGAAAAAGCTAATAAAAATACCTAGTTTTTAATATTTTACTATTTTTAAAAATAACTTAAAGACAGCTAACTTTTATTTTTTAACTATTATAAAATACCTTATAAAATAAATGTTTAAATACTATGTTTTAAATATTATTAAAATACTAGTACTATAAACATAAATCTAAATCCCTAGGCCACTCCTAATAATTTAAAAGTAAATTTAAGTTTTTATACTACTTTTAGCTATATAAATAATATAAAGCTGCTTCCACTATATTAAATATATTACCTATAAAAAAAAGCAGTAAAAATAAAACACCCGTGGAAACTAAAACCTTAAATAATATAAAAAATAAGCTTAAGATTTTATAAATAAAAATAAATAGCCCTATTAATAAAAAGGCAGATTTAGTTATTATTATTCCCTTTTTATTATAAATACCTAAAATTAAACACCCCCGTGCCCTTTAGTATAAAAAAAAGTTTATAACCCGCTAAAATACTTTTATATATTAACTTTAATAACTTTATTTTATTTAGTTTTATTATAATACTAGACTAAATATTATTATTTATAAAAAGCTTACTTTAACTAATAAGAAAAGCTTTAGTTTTATTAATATATTTTTACATTATTATAATACATGTTATAATTAAAAGTTATAAATACTAAAGTAAATGCTTGTAAGTACCCCAAGCTATTTTTAGTATTATTATAGTTTAATTAACCTAGCTAAAATTATATTAAATTAATAAAAATAAAAACGCGTGTAAAGTAACTAGCTATTTTTTACCTTAATTTTACTAGTAATTTTCCTTAAGTAAAGTAAAAGCTAGTTAACTATTTTTTTAAAGCCTTTTTTACCCTTATTTTTTTTTAAATCTAGTACTAGTTATAAAATCTTATTAACTATAATAAGTTTTTAAAATATAGCTAGTTTTTTATTAAGTGTAAGTTTTTAGCACTACTACTATCTTATTTTATATATAAACTAATTATTATTTAAATATTTATGCATATTTAGCCGCGGAAATAAAGCTTTATAATAATTTATATAATATTAATAACTAAACTTTAGTAGCTGCATGGGAGGAGCTGCTAAACTTTTAAAATTACCTAGTAATAAATAAGAAATACACTAATTTAAATAAAGGTTATTTTAAAAAGCTACTATTTAATAAATGGCCTAGTAAAAAACGCAAGTAAAAAAATATCCCGCCCTTAGTAATAAAGTATTTTTTAACTACCCTTTTAAAAAAAATATTAAAATTAATAGCTAAAAAATACTAAAATATATTTTTTATTTTTTTTTTTATTATTATAAACTATGCTGCTGCTGCTGCTAGTATTTTTTTATATTATAATATATTTACGTGATAATTTTCTTAAGCTTGCTTTAATTATTAATATTTAATAATATTATATAATATTAAAATAGGATTGGCGTTAAATTAATAAATAATTATATTATTTTTAAGCTTTAGCTATATAATTATATAAATTAAATACCTTTAGGCTAAAGGTAAGGTTTACATTTATTAATTTTAATTTTTACAGTATATTTATTTATAATAAATAGCTAATTTATAATTATAAAATTTTTTAGGTATAATAAATCTAGGGAACTTGTGTCTGGTAATAAAAATTTAGCTACCTTAAACTAAAATATTATAGTAGTTTTTATTTACCTTTAGTTTTTATAATTTACCTATTTTTTTTTATCTTAACACACCCGCTGCCTCTAGCTTTATTTTTAACCTTAAAAATAGCTATATTTTTTAAAATCTATTTTTTTAAAATAGTTTATTTTTTTACTATTTAAATACCTATAGCAACCATGCCTTTAACTTATAATATACTAATATTTTTACCTAAATAACCACCTAGTGTTATTAAAAAGACACCACTATTAGTTAAGCTTAAAAAAATACTATTACCTAGACTACTTAAACCTAAAAAAAATCTTTTAAGTAAAAAGGTAATACTACCTAGTATTATTTTTATTTAAAGCATAAATTTTTTTATTAATTACTACCTTTTTCTCCTAGTTTAACACTATGTTATTTAGTATTACTTTTAAGTTTTTTTTAACTATTATTAATTATAAAGCTACTGGCCCCTTAAATAGCCTGGACTTTTTTTTAAATACTAGTAATTAAATTCTTGTAATAAAGTATAATTATAAAAAATAAAATAATAAAATTAATATATTTTTTTATATTTATCTAGCTTTGCAAAACCCTTTACTTATACCTATTATTAATACTAATATTTCCTCCGGCTGGCCAATACCAAGAATAATATATTATACCTTTTTAAATAAATTTATTATATTAAATAATTTTATTTAACTCCTAGAAACTATTTATCCTACACATTCTATATTAATAAAAGTAATAGCTATAAAACACTTTATATTATTATATATAATTTAATACCTTAACCACTATATATATAATTAAATTATGTATTATCCTAGTCTAACTTATATTAAAAACCTTTATAAATATAAAGGTGTATAAAAAATGCTTTTAATAATAAACTTTTATAAATATTATTTAATATTACCCTAGCTATACTAGCACTTTACCTAGTTTATTTATAAATTAAAAATTATATATAGTAATATATATATATAATTTAAACTACCTTAAAATATACCTTCCCGGGATAATAAAATTTATCCCTACAGGTACTTATACCCGTGGGTTTATTATTATTAAATAAAATAAGCTAGTAAGTTAAATAATTTTATATATTTAATAATTAATATTATTTGCACGCTCGCGACGCCAGGGCGGAAGTAAAATATTTTAAAAATAATAAAAATAATAAGCTAGAAAATAAAAATAACAAAAAAATAGTTAAAACTAAAAAAAGGGTTATAGGTAATAATACCTTTAATTATATAAATATTAGCCCTGGTAACCAAGTTTAACTTTTTTTTATAAGGACTTTTGTTATTTTATAAGTATTTTAGGAATAAATATTATCTTTTTAATTTATAGCTTTATTTCTTTCCTTTTTTTAATGGTTATTAAAGCTAATGTTCTTTATCTAGGTTATTTATTTTATATAAAATAAACAAGATGCAGCCGGCGAACCGGCCTCTTAATAGCATAAAGTAATAAAAAAAATCTATATTTATAAGCTAAATCTAAAACTAAAAAAGTATATATTAAAAATCCTATTATATATTTATTATAATTTATTACTGCCCCTTTAAAAAGCATATCTAGCTATATATTTATATATTCTTGCTAAAAATAAATAAAAAATATAAAAATATAGCTTGCACTTAGCTAATATATTACTAAAAATATAATTTATAATAAATTCTTAAACTAAACTAATATATAATATATTTTTAATAAGTAATTATATTTTACTAGTGTCTTCCTGTGTTAATTATACATATAAATTTTAAAAAATACTATAACATTATAATTACTTATTATGTTATTATAATGCTATTACAAATCATGTGGTTATAATAAGACTACGCTGACTCCACCATATTCCCGAACCAGCCAACGGCGGAAAGGTTTGTTGTGTTACTGCTGGGGTGACGCGAGCAGACGCGTCGGGTCGCGTCCACAATGGCCAATAAGGTGGTCAACTGCTTCCAATTGTTCCTTTATCTGGTGGTGACCCTTGCCCCCGATATGGTAAATATGAGCGAAATCTGTAAGGAGCACCGGGGCCTATTTGAAGCGCACCACAGGCCACTTGCAAGCTTTACACTCGGTCGCACTACGAGTTATGGATGAACATCTGCATCCCCAGACCCATCTCTCTGTGTAATTAACGCCAGGACGTTAAGTGAATGGTATTCTCAAGATATCCCGATAATTCTCTCTCGGGCTCAAGGCTCAAGGCTCACAACTCCAATGCCGACCGCGGATGCGCTTCTGCTTCTGCTCAAACGGCCCCTCGACGTGCCAATCCACCACGCATCCCACGGGGTTGCTTTCTAACGTCTCCTCGCAGCACGGAAACTCCCAGGACTCAGGCGACGCCTCCATCATCGAGTCGTCAACCCCGAATTCATTGTCTACCCATAGATCTTCGCCGGTGGGCTGGGGGTCGTCGTCTGAAGGTGTCAGCCATTTACCTTCTGATTCAAAGAGTTATAGAGAACCTACCTGGGTGATACCGACAACTATCCTTTCCATTCTCCGTAACGTCAAACTCCTCCTTGCAGTTCCGACAGAACGCGTACCGGGCAACGGATCGCTTGACTCCGCGCGGTTCTGGTTGTAGGACCGTTGTTTCTTCTCCCTCCTGTTGGACAATCGGCTTCTTGCTGCTGTCGACAAGAAGATCTCTAGAGCATTCGTCGCGAGCCTGGGGCACCTTTTCGCACAGCGATTTCAGGACCTGGCGGAGTTTTGCTTCGGAGAGAATGTCGATTGCGCTCTTGAGGGCGTCGAGGTCGGTGGGCGCGCTGGACTCTGAACTGGCCATTTTCCTTTGATTCTAGTACGGTATAAAAGTCTGGATGGGAAACAATCAGGGGAAAAATCAATACAAAGTATGGTTGTTGAATGATGGAGACCGTCTGCTCCGTGTGGGTTAACGCGTCGCGTCGCCACGCTCAAAATCCAGTCGGTTTTTTAAAACCATCCATGCAAAGATGATAGGGTTCCCATTTAGACTTTGATCATCCGTCCCAAGTCCTTAAGACTCTGCATTCCTTTACATATTGAAGGTGAGGTCAATGCTTGATGGGGCAAATTCGGAGAGATCTGGACTCTATTAGATGTTCACTGGTGCCGATATATATTTCGGCAACTTCCGCAGACGGAGGTCCATACCCGTAATCTTCTCGCTGCTACAACGCCATACTTAGGACAGGCAATGGATTCTCGACGCATCATAATGCCAAATAGGAGGTAAATATTCATCTTCTGCTTCTAGATTGTCACAGGTCCCTGTCCCCAATATTCATTTGCAGTACTTTAGGACTGCAATTTAAAAGTCAGTTGCGGGAATAACTAGGTTAGCAAATTTTAACTAAGTAAATTCTACCGTTTTAATTAGCCGCCCCTTTAACTAATCCTGTTAATAACTGCTTAAAGCTAAAGTTATGTTACATGTACTTACGCCTTTTTACTTTAAAATAACTTACCTTTTTACATGTAACTTTTAAAGCTTACTACTATAACCCTACTATCCGCACCTTTGCTATCCGCACCTTTTTTTATAAAATTATTATATTAATAATAATAAACCTTTTTTATAATTGCATTTTTTTAATATATATATTTTTTTTATACCTTTTTAACCTAGTGTTCTTTACTATAAACCCTTTTATTACTTTAGCTATTAAAACTTATATATAATATAATAAGCTTAAGCCTATATTAAAGTTTATTTTAGCTAGGTATATATTAAAGCTAATTATAATATATTAAAAATATTAAAATATAATAAAGCTAATTATATATATATTTATTATATAATAATTATAAATATTAACTTTATTTTTTTTTTTAATAGCTTGTAAGAGCTTAATTTACTATAATTAATTAAATTATTTTAATACTTTAGTTTATATTAATAATAATAAAATATAATAATACTAAGGCTGTTTTACCTAATTTTTTAGCTATTACTTATTTAAACTTTATAGTATTAACTACCATGTTATTAAATTATATAATTTTTATTTAATAAATTACTTTACAGGCAGCTAGCTATTCCCAAGCTTTTTTTACTTTTTATTATTAAAGTATTTATAATTTAAATATAAAATTAATGGCTTTGGCTTGTAAAAAGCAAGTAACTATTTATAAAAAATATAAAGTTATTAATTACGCTAGGAAAGCTTATTTAACTACTTTTATATTATTTTAATTAATAGCTTTTATAAGTACAAGTGGTAAAGCAGTTTTATTAACTAAAATTTTTTTACCTATTTTTTTATTAATAACCTTTTTTTAATTACTTTAACACTAGGTTTCTTTTTATTTTTTACACCTGTGTAAACACCATTATTTTAACATAAGTTTATTTAATTTAAAGTATTTATTATAAGTACTTTAAGTATATTTAATATATTATATAATGCCTTACCTAAACCCAAACTTATTATTAAAATAAACCTTATTATTAATATTCAGGATCCCAAGCTGCTGGCTAAGCCAGCTTTTTTTATATTTAATAATAAATACCTTATAAGTTTTTAAACCGCCCTTGTTAATAAATATATAAAATATTATAATACTTATAATAAGTATTAATTTAAAATATACTAAATAAAAGGTATTTACAAGTACTATAAAACAAAAAATTAAAATAAAAATATATACTTATTTAATAATATTAATTCCCTTAATTTAGGCTTAATACCTATATTATAACCTTTACTCCCTAATTTAATATAAATTAAAAAAATATTAATAGTAAAAATATATATACATGTACAGGTAATATAGGTATATAGCTAGTAATATAAATATTATAGCCATGTTATTTATTTTTTTTAAAATATTAGCTATATATATAATACCCTTTTTTTATTACCGCGCAAAGCAAATATTATTTTTTTTATTTATTTAATATAAAAAATAATTCTTATTTTTATTATTAGTATAAGCGCGACTTCCGTGTTTATTAAAAGTATATTTAAATATAACTTTTTTATTTATATACCTACTATTTTTAGTATTAAAATATTTAAATTAATACTAAAGCTTTAGCTATATTGCCTATAAATATATATATTATTAATAATATAATAATACAGGACCTTAACACTAATAAATTTAATTTTAAAAATTTAAATAAAAATAAAGAGCTTTTACTAAAAGTTATTATAATACCTAATTTTATAGTAAAAAATATAAAGTTAATAAAAATTTAATAGTAAGTAAATACTTAATTTTTTAATTTAATTACTTATAATTTTAGTTTTAGTACTTTATATTTTAGCATGCCTTTATTTTAAAGCACTTTATTATTAAAGTTTAACTATAATATTACTTTTTTGGCCTGTACTTTTTTTACCCTATTTTTTTAAGGTAAAGCTAAATTTACCTTGCCTAAAAATAGGCAAGTAGCCTATAATAATTATATTAAGTATTTAATAAAGTATTATAATAGGTGCTTTATAAAACATCCTTATTTTTAATTTATAGCCTTTAATATAATAATAAAAAAATAAATAAATACTTAAGTAAGTTTTTATATTTATTAAAAGGCTAGTACACATGTAAATATTATAATTAAAAATATTTAAGCTATTTTTTTAAATAATAATCCTAAATTTACTATTTTATTAAACTTAATTACTTAATTTTTTAGTAGTTTAAAAAACACCTATTTATTTTAAATAAAAAAGCATAAATAAATTAAGTTTTTTATATTAAATTTAAGTGCGCTATATTTATTTATAATACTTTTTATTATTAATTTTTATTAATATAATTTAATGCGGCACCTCCCTTGCTTTAAAAAGTAATATTAAAAATTATTAATTAAATAAATTAAGATTACACGTAATAATTTACGTAAAAACCCTTATATTATTTTTTACTATTTTTAGTTATATTTTAAAATATTTAGGAAGACCGTTTTAAAGCCTAAGTTTAAAATTAATAATAAGTAATTTTATTTTAAATAGCAAGGCTATAAATTAATATATTTATATAAATTATACTAGGTTAATCTAACTTTTATTACTAATTATGAGTCGCGTTTGTATACTGCGGTGAGCTTAGGAGAACGTGAATTACTGCAATAGGAAAGGCGTTGTGTATTTATAGTAGGAACTAATTGCTAATTTTTTTAAGTTAGAGTTTAAAGTTAAACTTAGTATTTTATATATTATATAACTGGCCGCCGCCTTAGCATGTGGCTAGTTTAGTGCTAAAGTTTCTTTACCTAGCGGCCTTAGGCTACTAGATTATATTATTATAATATTATATAGTTATAATATTATAATAATAATAATAATACTTTTTTTTTTAAGTAATTACACCCTTGTAATTTATAAATTTATATTTATATTTTATAAAATATAATTTAAATTATAAATCTTATTAAGCGCTATAAAATAAGCTATTTTTAGGTTTATAAAGTATTATAATTTATATATAATTTATATTTAAAGTTAGGTATAAAAAATTAATTTAATTATTTTACTTTACTTTTAAATTTAAATATAGTATTATTGCTTGCAGTGGCTAGGCATAATATCTTAATTTTAATATTAAAATACCTTTATAATTTTTTTTTTAAGTTTTTTTTATAATATAATTAAAGATGCCTACTATAAGTATACACCTTTTTATTATATTTTTATTACTTTTTAATTATTTAATTATATTTTTAGGGTTAAAATACCCTATATTTACTTTTTCCCATGCTTTTTAAGTATTATATTATTTATTTTAGTAGTATTAATCCTGTGTTAATATTATTAGGCCTGTATATTTTATTTTACTTTATACTTAGTTTTTATAATAAAGCTTTAAGCTTTAAATAACTAAATCTTTTTATTTTTATACTTTTTTTAATATTTTTAGCAGCTATTTATAATATGTGGTTATTTTATTTTAGCTATTAATATATTATTATATTAACTTTTTATTTACCTTTTTTTTATATCCTGCTGCGTACTTACCTTTTTAATTTAATTAATAAGCTTTTTATATTTAGCTCTTGTTATTTTTATATTTTTAAAATTATTTTTAGTAATTAAATTAAATATAATTTACTTTTATTATAGCCTTTATTATACCACGTGTTTTTAACCCTATTTTTTTTTTAAGGTTTCTTATGCTTGCCCTTTATTTTATGTTTTTTTTACTTTAATATTTAATATAATTTTATATCACGCTTTAAATGCTATTATTAGCAGTTATTTATTTTATTATAGTATTTTATTTTATATTTTTTTATTATAATAGTTAAGCCTTGATTTTAGCCTTTATTTTTTATTTTATTTTTAGTATATAAAATTATATTCCCCTGCCCTTTACTTATATATTAATAATTATTAATATGCTAGCTATTAAAATAACTTAATTTTAATACTTGCGTGCCCTTGTTATTACTATTATTATTATTACCCTTGCTATTATTTTTACTGCCCCTACTAATAAAGCTTTTATTAATATTTTTTTTTTTACCACCCCCGGGCTTTATAGCTTTGCTACTTAATTTTTATATTTTATAATATATTATATATATTACTACCATAGGGTGCTATAATAAAAATATATTTATTATAAATATTATAATAAAAGCCCTTATATATAATTACTTAGGGGATAAAAAGTGCTAGTTTTATTATAATATAAAAAAGGCGCTTTTAAAATATATAGTTATTAATATTACCCTAGTAAGTAACTAGCTATAAAATATTTTTAATATTATTAATATTATGCGTGTGGGAGCTAATAATCTGCAAGCTTATAAAAATCTTATTACCTTAAAGGTGGCTTATTAAGTATTTAAAG